AGAGTTTGATAGAAATTCTTTCAGACCACATAAAAACATTAGTTTTTCATTTGGTGGGATTGTTTATAATTTATTTATTTTTTTTTTTAAGAAAAGAGGAACCCAAATCGAACCCTGTTCTCCATGCTTCTCCTTGAGCACTGCAGACCCTATGAACAGAATAGAGCACAAATCCAAACAGGCTGTGGTTTAGGAAAAAAACCAACCAACCAAACAAAACAACTAATTCTGTTCTGCTTTATAACTGACTGAATTCATCCATCCACAATGCAGTCAGAATACTAACCACTATAAAGAGGCATCAAAGGAAAAGAAAGTAGATGAAACCAGAAGAAAACCAGCTCATACAACCACACACTTTCACCCTGTCAAAACACACCCCCATCACTATACAAAATTAAATGCTATAAAGCACACAGCAAACCTGCTGATGTTTACATGAGGACTGGTTTGCTAGGTAAATTTGGGTTTTTAATCACTATTGCTCATGACATAAATATTTTTATTACTTAAATGGTTAGCTCCTGCCCTTTAATCCTGGGCTCAAATTTTCACCTCCCATTGAAGTTAACAGGATTCACACATAGGCACCCACAAACTCATGCTATGGGTTATGAATCACAGGTGCTCACAGGTACCACAAGTAGTGCACACCTTCCCTCAAAACAGCACCAAAAAATATACAGAGAAGCAAATGCAGCCTGCCACTTTAAAGAAAACACTTGTTTAGCTAAGAAATGCTAATACCACAAGTAGTGCACAGCTTCCCTCAAAACAGCACCAAAAAATACACAGACAAGCAAATGCAGCCTGCCACTTTAAGGAAAACACTTGTTTAGCTAAGAAATGCTGCTGCTGGCATGATGCAGCACATGGCTTTTCTTGTATTGGTCGCCACACAAACTAAATTTGGACTCCCCTGCTGTAGTGAGTATCCGGGGAAATCAACCACATCACGCAGCTGACATGCAGGGGGAGCTGCAGAGATGTCTCCGAAGCTCTTAACCCACCTTTTTGTTGTCCATTGCTGCTCAGTCCATTAACAACAGTTTTTGCAACATCAATTTCTTCGTGTTCTGTAAGATAAATGAAGAAGCAGATTACTCCTGGTTTAAAAGCTGTGCAACTGAATTTAGCCTATAAGGGGGATGTCATGGATCAGCACTGTTTGATTCATGAACTAGGAAGTATTCTTACTAGCTCAGGAGATGTTGCTTGGAGACACAAATCTCCCCTGGATGACACTCCTATTTCTCCTTTCCCTTTGTCTACCTGGATCTCACTCTCTTTTTCAAAAACAAAACAAAACAAAACAAAACAGGGACTCTTGCTGTATGTGCATATGTGGCATCCAGCTCAGTGATGAGTTTTTCAGGAAAGATTTTTCTAGTCTGCAACATCCTGAGCTGACATAAACAAAACTGGCTCTTGTGAATTCAGAGAAACACAAAGGATAATGCTAGAAAGGACTTCCAAGTGTCATCTAAAGCCATAGTCCTGGCCAGTGGCAGAAACAGATCTACCTGTCACTGCTGACAAATATTTGGCTAACAAGGTCTTACAAACTTTCAGGATCACCCTAAAGCAACCTATTCCAGTGCTTCACAACTTGGAAGCTTATCAAGGCTCAAGCCATATTCCCAAATCATGTTTTTCAGACCCTGATTCGTCTCCTAGCCTTTCTCTGGACTGTCTCCAAATGGTTCACATTTTTTTTCAAAACGTAGTGCTAAAAACTGGACACGACACTCCAGCTGAGACTTGATAAGGTGTTAAAATCAAGTGAGAATATTATTACACAGGTCCTACATATGGAGCTTTGCTGTGGTGTCTGTTCTATTTTTCACTCTGATTTGGCCTGTTATCCAGCCCAGCCCAGTTGTTCTCCTCCCCTCAACCAGCCTGTTTCCTGATCCATCATTTTACATTGAACAGAGGACTTTTCATACTAAGGTGTCAAACTTTGCATTCATCCCTGCTAAAAAACAGATAATTATTTCAGATCATTATTTCAGGTAACCAGTAATTATGAATTCTTGTATTCCAAAGTGAGAGAAGCTGAAATTACCTCCTCCAGCTCAAAATGTTTCTAGCCAATTTTTGAGCATTATTAACCAACCAAACAAAAAACCATTATGCCAGGACACTTTTTACTACAAAGTCTTTCCATTGTTGCCCCAACAGTCAGATTCCCTGAGCTTTCAAGGGCTTTGACTCTTTTCTGGGAAGCAGACGAATTAAAAAAACAACAAAAAAACCAACCCCAAAAACCAAGAATGAGGGCAAATAGAAAACAACACTAACAACACTGACTTACCAGAGCTCATTATGGCAGAAGGGCTTGCCTTTTTCACTTCTGAATTTTGTTTATGTCTGTGGAGAGTGAAAGGCAGAACAGTTACACTATGTTTCATGTCTGCCCAGATAGCACTGGATGTGATGCTGAACTTTCATCACAAAAGTCAAGGTAATAATCACAATTTCTTTTAAAAAAAAAAAAGATTATTTCAAAACCCAAATGGATTTCTGTCAACCATCAGTTACATTTTTACACAAGAGTATTTCCACCCAGTATAGGTACTACTTTCAGACTTTAAGACTAATCCTCAACATTAATTCATGAAATACTGATTAAAGCCTAGGAATCTATATATGGCAAAGTGCAAATCTGGGTAGCTTCAATTATATAAAATGTGCATCACCTTCAAGAAAAAAAAAAAAAAATCAGTGAGACTAAAAGCTTTAAGCTAAAATCATAGAATGGTTTGAATTGGAAGAGACCTTTAAAGGTCATCTAGTCCAACCCCCCTGCACTGAGCAGGGACATCTTCAATGTCTCAGAGCCCTGGTCAACCTCACCTGGAATGGTTCTAGCTTTCAAGGCAATCTGTTGCTCAGAGCACAGTCAGTTTCTCCTTTGAAAGATGTTACAATACAGAAGAGATATACTTGTTGAACTGCATATTAACTTCTGCACCAATAATTTCCAGCCTTGCAGTGCCACTTACATTTTCAAGATCAGACTTCAGTAAATGAAACTTTAAAAACTGAAGCTTTAATCCACCTGGGACCAAAGGCAGTGAAATTATCAACCCCTGAGAAAAACTACCAGGTGGAGACTGGAGAAGAAAACAGTCAATTGTTACAGTCATGACAATCTCTGGAAGATGACTGTAGGGCCTATTCACACCCAGTGTCCACTCCTGCATGGACTTGATATCTGCAGCAAACAATCAGGTTTCAATGTCACATCACAGATGTTGGTTGAATAGTCAAAAGCAGCATTTCTACAAAACAAGTCCATGTTTGCTAAGGTCTCTCAGCTCTATAAAGGCCCTAGGCTGAATTATACACCCTTTAACTTTGTCTTCCAACCTTTTTTCCCCCTTCAAAAGTTAGCACTAAAGAGAGTGAGATGAAGTGCAAGACCAGTCAATTAATTCTTCCACAATGTGAATAGAAATAGGTATCTGAAGCTGCAAAATCATGCATAAACAAAGACCCTAATCAGCGAAGTATAAGGAAAAATTGCTCAGAGAAACAAGAAACTAAACAAGGGAGCTGGAGATACTTGTTCTCCTGTTACACAAACTGGAAGCAGCTGTGGGACATTGTAAGCAGTGGAAGTTGCTTTCATGGAAATTAATTTTGCTCTCTTGCCTCAAGCATCCCCGTTCTTGACTAGCATTTGTTTCATACCAGCCAGAATACAATGAGCTCAATCATCAGATACTCAAAAGGAGAGAAAAGAAAGTTCAACAAGCAAACATAGTAACACAGCAGTCTATAACACCAACCAGTATCTGCGCCCTCCAGCAAGCCACCCTAGGAACAGATGCCAACACTTCATTAGTTAATATTTTTTTTTTCATTAAAACATCCAGATAAGATACACATCGTACATCAGTGAAAGCTCAGTAGGATGCAGCCCAACTCCAAATTGATCCTAGTAACACACAGTGTGGAGGGTGCAGTCTAAAACAAGTCAACAAAAAGCTGGACCCAAAGGTCTGCTGCCTGACTTTGCCTGCCTGCACAGTATCTGCTTTTTGTTTCTACCATTTTATATTAGCAATAAGAACCCTGAAATAGTAACAGCTGACAGCCAGAAAATTTAGTCACATATACTTAATGGTCTTTCTGATCTTCACACATTCCAGATGCCTTAGTTCAAGCAAAGCAGAAAGACAGAGGCTAAAATGATAGGCTATCCAGGGTAAGGAGGTTTGCATCAGTATCTTGCACTTCTAGGTATGGAAAATTGTTATAAGTTAAACTCACTGAGTAAATACAAGTCCCTCGATAGGGCAGGGAGAAAACTACAAGATGGGACAATGCTACATTAAGTCTCATTTCAGCTTTAGAATTAAAGCCATTCTGGAGCTGAGGAGGTTGCTGGTACCCAGAAGGTTTGACTCAGCCCTGGTCCTCTCTATGGGCTTCATGCAAGTCAACAGAAAGTTTCTTCCAGTCCAAGCATCACCCAAAAGCTGTACGCTTTCTTCTGGAACAGTAGTTCATGTGCCTGGCAAAGGCAGGGCCCACTGCTGCTGCAATCCCACAGTATCACATGTCCCTTTCCACAACGGCAGTATCCAAGAAATTAAACTTCTGAGTCCATGCTTTACACTTTTTGTACTGTCTCATCTCTGTTTAGAAACAGCGACATCAAAACTGTCATAAAACTCTGATTTTAATTAAGTCTTTTTGATTCAAGAGTCCTGAGACTGCTTACAGTATGAAGCACTGGCCTTCACTGCATTAAGAAAAGCGTTAAGGAAAGAATTCACACTCAAAAAAGCACAAATGTTTGGCTTTAAAGGAACAAATTGCTTTTCACAAGATGTGATTTGAGGTTAAAAATAAAGTGTTAATTAAAGAAGTTGGCTAAAATTAAGTGGAGGAGATGTACAAACTCCTAGAACTAGATCTAGAAGAATTACTTCTCCACATATCTCCACACTTATTAGCAATTAAGGAATTCAATTAAAATAACAAGCGTTCAGTGTTCACTTACTGTGAAACTAATCAGCATTATTCAAGCATTCAAATGAACACTTACTTAATGTCAGGTTCTTATACACAGAATGGATTCAGTGTGCTGAGGGTGAGTGCAGCCTCCCCTGAGCACCCATGTTGGTGCAACTCCAGAAGCTCCATTGAGAAGTTGATAGTGATCAGCCCAGGACCTGCATACAGATTTGCTGCATGCAGATAAAAATAACTGCTGTTTAGATTGAGGAAATCGTGGTGCACATTTGGACCTGAGAACGTGCTTCAGTGCCTTTTTGCATCAGGACTACAGAATTACTCTGCCTACTTCCCATATGCTTAACCCAAACCACACACTGAAATCCTATTAAGCCTATCTTAGCCCTCAGGCTGCTCTTGGGACCAGATACACAGTCCAGTCAAACAGCACATCTGGCTCCACAGCCCCAGTACAGCAAAGCATTGTGCACTGTAACACCTTGGAAGGTACCTGCTGTCAGTCAGCGTGCTGTGAGTGTCTGGATGGTACATCCTTAGACAGAGGAGTCCCTCCCAGTCCTCCTCGTGTGTCTTGCTGAAGACACACATGCACGTATGCACAGCAGGCACTTCAGAAGGGAGCCTTTCAAAGAGAACCAAAAATCAGATCCCTCGTGTCGATACTAAAACCAGACAAATTGATACTGCCAGAGAAGGCAAAACAAAAATTCAAAATAGTAACAACAACAACGACGACGACGTTTAAAACCCTCCAAGTGTCTCCTTCCAGCTCCCTGCTCTAAGCAGCTAACCAGTGTCTCCTGGACAGACTGGAATTCATGCCTTTCCTGAAACGTGGCAGACTTAGCAGCAAAGGCTTCAGAGCTGCAGACACTGAAAACCCAATGAAAGGTAATGAATTCCTCAGGGCCCTAAGTCAGCAGCTGTAACCCTGAACGTGCCGATGTCCATACATAACACCCAACACCTCCTTGCCAGTTTGGTCATGCCTCTGGATCGACATTTAACGCTTCCTTCCTCCCTTTTACCCCCAGCACATTTCTTCCAAGGCTGCAGCTCCTTCCCTACTTGGTGTGGAAAAGAGAGAAGTGCATTTAGAAGCCTATTTAGGAGGAATGCAGATAAGTGGCAACTACTTCTGCACAGCACATCTCTGGATTATCTCACATGCTCTAAACATTTGAGTACTCTCCCTACAATGCCAGGGAGGAACAAACAGCTCATTAATAGTTCTGAGCAAGGACACATGCTCTTAAGTCATTGGTATTTCAGCTACCAGTCGCAGGCGGTGGTTATTTTGGATGGTCTAACCTGGGACGGGGGTGGGGGGGAGAGTAATTTCCTTTTGTTTCTTCTCTTATTATTACTGACAACTCTGATGGCTTGCATAGGATTTTAGAACAATTGATAAACATCAACATTCAAAACTCATTGGGAATGTCACTTACACTACAGAGATTTGGACTCCTGCTTTATCTTCTCAGCTCTGTGGTTTTTACGTTTTCTAAGTTTTCTATCCATAGAAAGAGAGCATTAAGTGTTTTGTGGCTGCAGTTAAATGAAAAATAAAATTATTATTTATATTAGTATAACCTAGGAGTTGAGGCCTTTAGAAAAATGGTAAACTTTCAGACTTAAGGGGTGACCACCAATGACAAAGCTTGCTTTTCACCTGCTCAGGGTTCACACATCACAGACAGCACTGATTTGTTTAGCCCCTGGCTCAGACCCTTTCTCACATTGCCACCCGTGTCCCTGACCCAGATGCTCAGCTCAAACAGACATGCCAGCAATGTGGAGTCCTAAATCTGGGACACGGTCAAAGAGCTGCACTGCAGCCAGTGCCCCCTATCATGAGGTTCCTTTGCTTAAAGGAACTTGCTGGGAAGCACATCTCCTCTGTACTTCTCACTTCGTATCATATAAAATGTGGCAAGAAAAAATAACTAGAATACAGGAGGCAGCTTCAGGTTAACCCAGGCAATGAGCTCTCTCTCCAAGTATCATTATTCGCCTAGCCTGAAATACTGAGAAAAATAGATTGCCTGTCATTTTTATTTCAGGGGTTAAAGAACATCCTGTCATCCCTTCAGAAGATATTACGCTCCTAACAATAAATGACATGAAAAGGCTATGAATAAGCAAGCAGTGCACATAGAAGAATCATACCAATTCTGTACAAGACAATAGCCTCCCCATGCTCTTCATTGAGCATTAAGACAACAGAAAGAGAGCAGAGAAAGCTCACTAAATGAAACAAATGGCAGCACTGAACACGAGCTTGGATAAGGTGTTCTTATAAATAATTGAACAGCTATTAGAACAAATAAACACAGCACATTTCATATGCAGTATC